GGCGGCGGGGTGGCCGGGGGCCGGCCGAGCCTCCTGCGCTTGGTCTTGAGCACGCGCTCGGTCTTGCAGGAGGTGTACAGCGCTTCCACGTCTTCCCGAGAGATGAGCGTGCATTTGGCGGCGTGGAAGGCGATGCTGTTGATCGCCTTGAGTTTCCTCAACTCCTCCAGGTCGCAGTGGTGCTTTGTCACTTTCAGATGGTCCATGCGCTTGTGCACGGTGGTCCTCGGGATGTTTTTCAGCAGGTCCGTGAAGACTTGGGAGAGGGCAAACATTTGCTTTCCTTTAATGATGAGGTAGCCGAGCCTCACGCCATCCACCTCTTCAAAACCTGACTTCAGGTCTCCCATCTCGGGCACTAAATGATCCCCACCATTTGCAGTAAATATATACGTGACGCATACATACACATGTATGTATGTTAATCCTCCGCCAGATGCTGCGAGTGTCTCAAGGCATCCTGCTAATAAAATAACAAAGACTGTTATTCCCGGCGAAGGGAGTGCCAAACTCCAGGCAAAATTATTGAGGGAGAGGGGGAAAAAAAAAACCCCAACCAACAACCATGAAATTACACTGACTTGATTCTTGCTTTTTTTTTGGTTTTCGTTTTTTGAAAAAAGAGGGAGAAAACCATCCGGCTCCTGATCTGCCAGCGTGTTGGTGTAAGCCTCCGAGGCAGATCGGTACCTGGGCCCCTCTCTGGCCTCCCTTCTCCCTTGGAGCCCTAGGATAATGGAATGTGAAGGGAGAAAGAGAAAAGAAATGCAGCTGCTATTCCCGCCGCTGCTTTAGCTACAAATAAAATGACAGAGTGAAGTGAGCTCGTCCGGAGACACCTTCATCAATTAATTCCCCTAAAGCCAGCGCTGATTGGACACTCCTGACAGGTGATGCAATAAAAATTGATATTCCACCCCTTCCCCCCAAAATCTCCCACTAATTAGCATACCCGTATACTGCCACCTCCCCTCCCAAAGTAAATAATACAGTCGGTATATAAATCTTTCCATTAAACTATCGGAGCTCAGAAGCAGCTTGACTCGCAGACTTCATCAGAAGCAGTGTGTGTACGCTTAAAAAAAAAAACCCCACCGTATAGTCCCCTTTAAAGGGGTACTGCCTATTTTTTGCTTTATTTGCATTTTACCGATACAGCTATTATAATTTCAAAGGAAAGGGATTTAAAAAACATTATCAAGCCTAAATAGATATTCCCACCCCCCTTTTCTTTGAAAATGGAGCTTAAGCGAAAATGTGCAGAACAGCTCACTGTGCAGAATAGCTTGGTATTTCCCTTATGCGAGCAGGGGAGAGACCCGCTTGGAGCTCCAAAGTTAAACCCGCGCCAAGAACCACCCCAACGCAGACTTACGTTTCGAATTTCTCTCGATTTTCCTTTTTCTCTGAAATCCCTTTTTACAACCATAGACAAAGTTATTTGGCCTAGGAAGCTGTTCAGGGTCCAGCCCTGAGACACTGTAACAATTCAACTGGATTTCGGTTCTCTGCTAGGGGGCGGGGGGCGGGGGCGAGGAGGTAGTTTCACGTCAGACTCATAACAAAGCATAGATAAGCCAGAAATGTGTACACTTTTCACAATTAACCTCGCTGGAAGGCCGGCGGAGTCCTCCTCGGGTCCCCAGCACAGCCTTTGCCAGGGTCCTGTGCTCGACAGGTCAGAATTCCAGGGAGCAGATTGCTTCTGCAGGCAGCAAAGAAAAGAAAATGTAAAACACTCTAGGCTCTTCCAGAGGTTTTACGTAATAACGATGGTGGGGGGTGGCGGGGGGAGTGCCGAGGTGCCATGCAGACTCTTACCAGTGGTCCAGGATGCTTTGGTTGGTAGTTTAAATGAATCTTCCACAACTCTCCTCCCCCTGCGGCCCCCCACCCTCGTTTTCCCCCATGAAAGCCAAGTATCTGCTTTAAGAAATCACTTGGGATGAATATCAATATGGTTTAACCTCTTCTTAGTCAAAGTCAAATGACTTTTTATGTCATTTCCAAGGATATCCAAAATATTGCCAAATGAGAGCAAGGGTCTTCTCAATTGTGTTACCAGGATCCCAAGGTGGTTGGTTGGCTGCTTTGCAAAATTCGGCAAAATCTTCTTAAACTGTCCGATGTTTGCAACTACAGTATAAATGTAAGTTAGGCATCTCTATATGTCCTTGTTCCTCCAAAAAATAAATACATCCGTGTGGCCAAGAGAATAAACGGATATTTCTGAGGCTGCAAGAAAAAAAAAATGTAAAAGAATTAATTCCTTCTAATTCAGAAGTTCCCACTTCCCCTGCTCGGATCTGGATCTGGCTCGCAAGAAGAGCAGTTATGGCTCAAGAATAAAAAAGGAAAGCAGGAATTAGACAAGGTAGTTTGCTTGATGAAATGAAATCTCCGCCATAGTTCCCCACCCCCACCCTATCCCTCCTGCAATTTCCCAGGAATTCTGAAGAGAATTGGGAATTTCAAGAAGTGCATCCGGAAATGAAGGAAGTCTATTTAGGAGAGTCTGTAGCTCAGGAGGCTGGGATTTGAAAAGTCACCCCTGGACTACTGTTGCACTCAGCACAGATGTAATCGCCGCTCTTCAACTTAATCAATGTGTGTACAAACCGCGATGTCTAGTTCTTGCCTTTGAAATCTAAGGCTAGCATTTCCATCCAAGAAATCAGAGCTACAGCAAATTACATTTTTGTCCCTTGAATGAGAGGAGGATCATTGAATGGATCTCGTGATATTTCAGGCTTTAAACGTAACCGAGAGGCAGCAATGAACAATGCCTCGTCACAGCTAATACCATCCACCGAGTTGGCTTTCTTTTGCATCTGGATCTATCACACCGCGTTTTTCTCTTTCACTTTCACAGGAGGCAAAATGCAAAAAAACAAAACAAAACCCAAAACAACAACAACCCCCAAAACAAACAAACAAAAAAAACCCCTTTAAGCAGAAAGCAAAGTTTCCAGGAAAAACAGATGCTGTTGTTTGTTTGTTTTGTTTGTTAAAGTAGAATGATCTGAGTCTTTCTACTGCCAGCGACAATAATGTTTTAAAATTCCTCCTGATGCACTTATATACTGCCAGCCCTCCTTCCTCCCACCCCTCTTCCCGCCCAGTGCCCCTCCCCCAGCTTTAAGATTTAGACCAAAGAGTCAAACAGCCAAGAAATAGTAAACTCAGAAAAAGCCTTTGAGAAGACATTACAAAAGGTTTGTTAGAGCGTCCTTTTTTTTTTTGGGGGGGGGGGGACGGGGATCAGGTAATTTCAGTTGTTCTTGAGCCCTATTATGTTTAGAAACACAGACATGCACAAACTCACACCACGACCCCTGCACAGGGCAACATGATTGATTTAGTAACCATTGCAAAATTACCTCTTTTCCTCTTTCTTCCTCGCCCACCTTTGAAAAGCTGAAATAACTTGTATTTGGTAGTTTAAAAAAGCTAATAGAATATTAAATCTTAAATAAAACTAAAGATACAAACTATTGGGCAAATTGTGAAAATACAGGTCAGGAGACTTGGGGAATGGGTCTTTTTATTCTGTATGTCAGTATCTCTGTATGTACACTCAGACACCTTTACACGTAAACATTTTTAATACTCCTATTACCCATCTTTCTTCTCATCTAATCCATTCTTTTGTTCCTCTAACTTCCTGTGTGTGTGTGTGTGTGTGAGAGAGAGAGAGAGAAGGCGTGCTCTTACGCGTGCACGTACACACACACACACACACACACACACACACACACCAGACAGCTTTCTTGTGGCCATCAGCACACATTGCATATCCGGGGTCTTCTCCAGGCACATTGGGGGTCGATCCGATAAAAAGATCTAGCAGAGGCCCCTGAGCGCTCACACATGAAAGGCAGGGGACTTTAAGATGGATTTGCATGCACACAGGGGATTTCGATCAATAGCTACCAACATTTATGGCTTAGATTATTAATGCGAAAGCTAGCCAAAAGAGTGGGGATGAAAAATTAAAGGTGTCTGTTATCAATTATGCTTAAAGTTATGCAATAATTTACTTACTCTGCCTGGATGTGCAGGTCCAGATGTATAAAATGCTATTCCTCAAAAGCCAGGGGCTTCTTTGAAAAATTTGTTGACCATGTCAGCTGCCTTTATAACCAAGGATGAACGCAATTCAGATGATGGAATGTATTCAAATTCCTTTTTAAGGAAAAGGAATCTATCGACTTCTGTATTTCTTAAATACATGTACATACATGAAGGGATGCGCCTAAATTAACAGTTGTGTCTATATCAATCTGAGTCCAGGAAATCACTTATTGTGAATTCAGTCAGATATACATGCACTGAGTTTGTTAATTAAATGTGATTATTTACTCAATGAAGAAGACATAATCTACATGGTATAGTTAAAAAGTATTTGAGCTTTGAAAACAAAGCTGTTTTGCTAAAGGAAAAGGTTTTGTACTGAGTGTAGACAGAAATATATTCTTAATGTCTACTTCTGAATTTATGTAAAATATCAGTACTTTCAGTTTTTAAAGGGATGGGCTGTAAAGATAGGAACATATTTGTCTTTACTTATTCCATATAAATGTGCTAAATTTACCTCTAGATGTTCTATTTTGATTTATTTTCACTGTATTTTATGTTTAAATACCATTGCAATTCCATCTGACCTCTTCCCTCTGGAGCGAAGTAATGCACACAGCATTTACAGTCTTTTAAATGGTTAGCTGGGAAATGCAGTAGCAATTTGCAGGAGTAGTTTACTAATGGGGAAAGTTCTTTTGAAAACCTGAAGGAAAACCTAAGAGTACTTTTGCATTTCTATACTACAACTGTCATATAATTAAAGTATTGAAGAGCATTAAAATAACCCTCTCCTTTCCAAGCTTTCACCCATACATACATAATTTAACTGACTATCTTCCATCCCCACCACCAACCCCACCTAATTCTTCACCATATACATTTGTTTGTGATTGCTGGACACATTTTGTTAACAGTGAATTCAAACAGAAAAGCTCAGGAAACATCACAAAGGCTTCAGAATGTAAGTACACTGATTCAAAGAAACGAAGCTCCTTATACTGCTTATCAAAAAGTAGCTATAATACGTGCAACATAACAAAAATCGAAAATAATGAAAAATAAATTTATTCTCTTAAATGGTTTGAATCCTTCTTGTGCTCTGGGTTAGAGACATTGGATGCTAAAGTCTTGTGTGATAGTCAGAAGTTCCTGCTTTGCTTCTTGGGGGAGGAACAAGAGTGAATAGAGGATGGAGAAAGGGCTAAGTGAAGGAATAACTTAAGTTACAACCTAGCATATTTTCCCTAATTATTTTTTTTGTCTCATCCAAATAAATCAGGGTCCATCTTCAAAAGGGCTCATCCTTCTGTTCTTAAGCTTTGAAAAATCCTGTTTTTAACAGAAGTTTGGGACACAGGGCATGCCATGTTGTCTACTGACCCATAATCAAAATGCAGTGACCTCCTACCCTTTTCTTGCTCCCTGACCCATCTTGAATTCAATGCAGCCTTTATAAATTTGCAAATCCTTGGAGGTAAAGGGGTTTTTGTGAGGCTTTGTTCTGAGAAAGTCCTAAAGAGTGTGTTTTCTGAAATAGACAAAGGTAAAGCAGCAGACGCTAGCGGACAATATTTTATACAGGTGAGCAATAGACAGCTCTTCGGGTTACCATGCATTGCAAGCTAAAAAGCAGTTACAAACATAGGTGCCAAGGTTATGGATTGCATAAAATTAGAGAGGCACAAAATCACTTTCCTAATGTAAGGAATGGTTAGGCCCCAATCTCCCTGCTTCCCTCATCT